CCTCACATGTTCTAGGCAAGTGCTCGATGGCTGAGTCACAACCCCAGGCCCCAGAATGTCTTTTATAGGGCTGTTTCTGATCTGTTTTTTCAGTTGACAACTTTTCCAGTCCTGTGGAACTGGCAGCCTCCCTAGCAACATTGCCCACCTTGAGGAGGTTGTAGGTTGTAGGGTAGGATAAAGGAGAGGTCTGGGGAACATCTGGGTGTCAGCACCTGAGCTAGGTCAGAGTCCTGAGTGATGTGGAGGGGCATGGATATTACTCACCTTCTACCTGGCTACCTGGTATCGAACTCAGAATACCATACCAATGGAGGTTCTCCGTTGTTCTCCATTCTTCTTAATGGCCCAGGTGGTTTGTGTTCAGCAGTATGTGCAGAATAAACAAGAGCCCTGTCCATTTTATTTGTCTGGTTTTTGTGTGTGGTGCTGAAGATTGTACCCAGGGCATTGTATATCTCATGCATGCTAATAAGCAAATCTATACTATCTCTGAGCTACTTTCCCAGCTTCCCCTCTATCTGTATTCCTAGGCACATGTTCAAACCCCACTATTTATTTGGCAATACAGAAATTCTTTTTTTTTTTTTTGGTACCAGTGATTGAATCCAGGGGTGCTTAACAACTAAGCCACATCCCCCAACCCTTTTTTTCTTTTTTAATTTTGAGACAGAGTCTCACTAAGTTACTTAAGGCCTCCCTAAGTTTCTGAGGCTGGCTTGAACTTATGTTCCTTTTGTCCCAGCTTCCCAAGCTGCTGGGATGATATGTGTGTACCACCATGCCCAGCCCCATACAGGAATTATTTAAAACGTTATAGCTCTAAAAGATGCTTCACATTAGCTTCCTTCCCTGGCCAACTCCTGCCCACCTGTCTTTGGAAAGTTTCCCCTTAGTGACCCAGATGGGCTAACGCTAATGTGCCCCTGTTCATGTGTTCCCAGAACCATTTTATTTTGAGACAGGGTCTTTCTCTAAGTTGTCCAGGCTGGCTTGGGACTTTGCCATCCTCTTCTATCAGCCTCCTAAATTCCATCAGGATATCCATTGCTATGTCACCCCATCCACCAGCCTCCAGGAGATGGAATTTGGGACACATTGTGTATACCTGATGTAACAAGTCATGGCAAAAACAGCTCAACATTGTGTACATGAATAAAGTGGATTAGTCACCTTCACATGACCACAGAGAAATACCTAAGGTGACTAACTTGTAGAGAGAAGAGTGTTATTTAGCTCACAGTTTTGGAGATTCAAAGCTAGGGATGACTCAGTGGTAGAGCGCGTATGTAGCATGCTTAAGTCCAGGTCCAATCATCAGCACTGCCAAAAAAGGAAAAGAAAACAAAGTTTAAGATTGGGTGGCTGAGGGTAGGGAGGATCCTTGGTTTGGCCTCCAGTGAGGGTAATACCTCAAGGTGGGAACACATGTAGGATCAGTCACATGTCAAGCCAGGAAGCAGAGAGATTAGGTGAGAGTCCCACAGTCCTTTTAAGAGGCATGTCCCCATGGCCTAAGGACCCTTCCCTTGGTCTTCCTCCTTTTTTTTGGGAGGGGGGAATTGAACCCAGGGACACTTTGTCACTAGCTATGTCCCCAGACCTTTTTATTTTACTTTTATTTTGACACTAAGCTGCAAGGATGTCACTAAATTGTTAA